GGGCGCCTGGGGCAAGACCTCCTCGGAGTCGGGGGCCTCGTCCTCCTACAGCGGGGAGAGCCTGCGGGAGCGCGGGGGCAAGGGGCGCCCGCGGGACCGGGCAGGGGTTGCTGCCAACTCCCTGCTGGGGCGCAGCTTCAGCCTGGGTGACCTCAGCCACTCGCCGCAGACTGCCCAGCGGGTGGAGAGGATCGTCAGGGAGGTGAAGAGGAAGAAGGGCCTCAAGGAGGTGCCCGAAAGGGACAAGAAGATCGCAGCCCTGATGATTGCCAAGCACCAGGAGGCCAGCCTCCTTCGGGAGCAGCGGCAGGCAGCCCATCTGCAGGGGGGCAGCCAGCGGCGCCTGGCGGAGCAGCGGAAGGAGCAGGAGGAGAAGGAGAAGCAGAGGGCTCTCGTGCAGGGCCAGCGGATGTGGGAGTGCCAAGTGGAGAAGCGGCGAGGAAGGCTGAGCCAGGAGCAGGAGGAGGCGGCCCTGCTGAAGCAGAAGCAGCGCCTGGTGTGCGAGGAGAGGTGGCGGGAGCAAGCAGAGAAGCAGGAGCGGCTGCGGAGGGAGAAGCTGGAGAGGGCCATCCAGGAAGACAAGCAGAAGAAACTCCATCAAGAGCACAATTTGAAGGCAAAGGAGGATGGCAAGAAGGAGCACCGAGAGCGAGAGGAGCAGCTCCTGCAAGAAAAGCTGTCCACAGCTGCAAAGAAGAGGCTGAAGAAGGAGGTGCAGCTGCAGAAGGAGAAGAAACTGCTCAACCAAGCAGAGAAGCTGAAGCACGAGGCCTTGCTCAAGGAACTGGCCAAGCAAGAGGCAGAAGAGAAGGAGATGCTGAAGGCCTCCCTGGAGATGAGTTTAACCAAGGCTCAGGAGAACTACGAGCAGCTAATGGAGAAGAGGAACCAGGAGCTGAGGGAAAAGGCCAGGCGGGAGGAGATGCAGATCCAGAGAGCCAAACTGGCAGCAGAAAGGAAGGAAAGAGAGCAAAAGGAGCACTTGGAGGCCCTGGCTAAAGAGACAGAGAGAAAGCTCCAGCACGCTGCCCAGGTGGCTGAAGAGGTGGTCCAGGAGAAAGCCCGCAAGGTTGTCATGAGTCGGCTGGAGAAGGAGAAGGTGCAAAAGATCAACAAGCAAAAGGTGGAGCAGTACGAGGACTTACGGCGCCGGGAGATCCTCCTCTCTATAGAGAGGAAGCTGGAGAGGAGTGAGCAGATCTTCAAGGAGAAGAAGACTGTCATAGAAAACGCCAGATCTGTTGCTCGGGCATCCTTCCATGTCCGGGAGAAGGTACGAGAGGAGACGAACATGCGCACCTTTGACAAGATGGCCTTAGAAGCAGAATTGCATGCCAACCTGGATAAGAAATGAAAGGTCTTTTCATGGATAAGTGAGGATACATCAGCTAAGGTTGTCCATCAAAATGCACAGACAGCTCCTCTATATTAGAACATTTTACAAAACAACCAACAACAACCACTCTAATTTATTATTTTGGTGGGGGGAGGGGAGCAGGGTACCGCACAAAAACCGTGGCAGCTATTTCATGTACTTTTTTAAATATGCTTTTGTTTTGGGGCATGTTTTAAGCACTGACCTCAGTCATCTTTACAGAGAGGAAGTGAGCCTTCGTGTCCTCCACTCCCACCCCACGAAGCACACACACTTTCTCAGAGAGGGCTGCAGAAGAAATTTGCTTGAAACCTGTGAGTCAGCAGTTGTTTGCCTGAACTGGAGCTGACTGCAGCTGCGCTCTTCTTTAGTGTGGAAATGCAGGCAGTAGCGATGACAGGCCTAAAAAAGAACCAACTTCAACCCACCTCGTTCTGTTTTGAGTGCAGTTCAGCTTAGTTTAAGTTGCAGGGTTGCATTCTCAAAGCTGTTGTCTCTTCCATGATGAAGATGGGGATGGCTGTATTAGGCAGTTCCATATGCCAGGCCCTTGGGTGCCCCTTACCCACTGCTGGTATCAGATGTGGGAAGAGAAAAGCACAAAGCAAGATTTCATAACACCATGTAAGTAGATGTTATGATCAGAGCTGGGCAGAAACTGTTAAAACCGTTCACAAAAACTGCAACTTATGCTCTTTGCAACCATTTCCCATCCGTGGTATCCTCACCACTCCTTCTCCTTTCCGAGTTTCTGTTAAGAAAGTCTGCAGAATTCTTTTTTTTTTGTAGAAGGGAAACCAGAAGAGAAGTTTGTGAGCAAGCCACAAACTAAAAGGCATCCACACAGCCCATTTATTCAGTAAGTTATGAAAATGAACTTGTGGAAGCTGGCCTTTGTCACAAACTTACAGATTATTTGTAAATGGCAATTTGTGAACAGATTGCCTAGAGGCGCTGTGGAGTCTCCACTCTTGAAAATACTCAGAATGAGCCATTCTGAGTATTTTGGCCCTGCTTTGAGCACAAGATATCCTCCAGAGGTCCCCTTCAACCTAAATTATTCTGTGATTCTATGAACTGCTTGCAATAGCAAGTTAACCCAGCTCTTATCATTGTCTACGAAGCAGGGCAGCATTTATCTGTCCACTGGTGCTAACAGTTGTATTCTCACTTTAGGGCACAAGAAAGAGTAGATGCACAAAATAAGCTATGTTATAGATTTTTTTAAATGAGGATCTCAGCCTTTTTATAACTCTTAACTCAATACTGTATAGAGGGAAATGAGTCCTTCTGCTGTTAATGCACTGGAAATGTGAAAAACGCCCACCTACACCCTCTGGAAAGTATTTAAATAAGACAATGTTCTGCTCCAGTTTTCCACATTTGCTGTCTGCTGGGTTATAGTAATGAACACATATCTGAAAGCAGGCACTTTCTGCTATTTTCTTCTGGCTCGGGGCTGTGCCAGCTGTGCATTCAACCACACATGACACCATGTGGGGTTGCTGTGGTGATGGTATCAGACCCGGCGCATGGGGGAGAAGCAGCAATCAAGATCCCGTTTTCTTACAGATGTCTCTAACAAACAACACAGAAGAGAAAACCAGAAGACTGACACAGGACATAGGCAGACAGGCCTTTCTGTGTAGACCGCTTACCAAAGTTTCCCGGGAGGTGACAGCAGGTTTAAAACCTCTTAGAAAGTTTTAAAGAAGGTGTTACATAACAGTGATGGAAATTGTAAACCAAAGTACACCCTGGTACCCTGCAAGCCTGAAAACATTATAAAGCCAGTGTTGGAAATGATGAAATAGGGATTTTCTTTGGTTTTGATGAAACGTACTCCCTTTGAATTAGAGAACAATTGGTGCTGTTGAGAACAGCCAGCAAGAAAGTAGGAATTAGGGCACCTGAGTTATGTTTTCACTGTCAGCCATTGGCTCGCTGTGTGACACCAGGTAAGTCCTTGAGGGCTGGGCCTGCTCTCATTGATATAAAAGGAAGCAGAGTCAGGCTCTTGGGATCGCTGTGACTCCCAGGAAATAACAACACCCAGCTTGGTAAAATGCTTCAAAGACTTTGGGCAAAAGAGGCTAGCAAAGCACAAAGTACTATTTTGTTTGTTTATTTATTTATTTATGTGGGTGGGTGGTTATTCAAGTAAAACCTATCTGTTGGAAAAAAGCACTAATTAACCTCAAAAATCTAAAAATATTCCTAACTCTGGGAAGGACAGTTGAATTACTGCTCCCGGCTAGACGTCTGTCCCCTCACCCTTGTCCTCAAAACAACAATCAGTTTGAACAGTGATACCCAGGTTGGTTTCAATCCTGCTGTCCTTGTTACAGTGTATGCCCTTGTAACTGCAAAGACCTAGAAAAGAGATGCCCAGTGGCTCAAGTCCAGCCTGCACAAAGCTTCCCTCACTCCCTGGCAACACTGGTGTTGGGATATACCTTGTACTGACATCAGCATAGCCAAGATTTCATCTAGCTTGTAGCCTTTGAGGCTGAAGAGCAAGCCTGCCAGCATTAATGTAGGGGTAAACAGTGGCTCACTTGTGAGAGCTCGTGCTCCCTGCTCCATCACATTGTGGTTGAAAGTTGACGGCATGATCTGTTGAGCAGCAAGCAAATGGAAAGAGTTGGGAAACAGCATAAGGAGTGCCAAAAGTGACGGGCAAATGAACATACACGGTCACTAACTGAAACAGTACCTCGTCCCTAAAGGTCTGCTGACTTCTACCTGAAGGTTTTGTCCAAACCTCCCTCTATGAGGCATTTGCAATGTAGACTGAGGACGTTTTACAACCCAGGAATAATGTCGTGGCCACTGACTAGTTAAACCTGGAGTCCACCTCTTGCCACTGACCAAGTTTGACTCCTTGGCACTACAGTCAAACTAATCAAAAGGCACCTACATGGTGATAATTGTGTTGGCTAAGTGCTGTTCCTATACTGTGCAGTGTGCAGCTCTGAAGTTTTGAATGTGCAATTTAAGAAAAAAAATATTTTTTTTCAAAATGCATAACTGTGTATGGATATTTTTTCATTCTGCAGTGGTTCTAATCTAAAGCCTGAGAGAGTCAATAGAATTTATAAGTTGTTTAAATTTGTGGCATGGAAAACCAAGTCAGCAAGTTGGGTGGAAGCATGAGAGCGATTTCTTGGATCTGCTTATGCTTCTGTTTATTTGAGAGGGAGTTTTACTGCTGGATTTTGGTGGGAGCAGAACTTACACCATGGAACACATGTAAAAAGTATTGTCTTTGTAGATTAGGCTTATTTGCTATTTTTGCTACCGAGGTGCAGGGCAGAAAGAGCAGAGTCAAAGCCAGCAACATGCTGCTGGCTAACTGCTCAGAACTAGAACACATCTTATGTAGAGCCCAGGAATAGCCGCTGACACTTTCATCAGGTCCTTCAGGCAGATAACCTCTGTTGTTCCTCTTCCAAGATTAGAAAACACATTTTAGGCTGTTGTTCTATTATAATCCTAGGATTATAATAAAGACTTTGCTTCTAGGCCACTTTCATGCTGCAGAATGATCGCTTGAAACTGAAATAACTGCATTTTAAAAACAAAAACAACCAAAGGACAATTACCAGGAAGCTTCTGTGACCAATGGCACATCTTAGGTGCAGCTAGAATCAAATTCCCAGGCTTTACTTCCTAAACACTTGGAAAGCCTAGCTCCAGATTTCATGCTGGATCTAAAGATCTAATGGGACAACCCAAAATCAGGATCCAAATGCCACTAAACTTTCAAATCCAATCCCTGACATGTGAGCACACCTCCAACCCCCCACTTGAAAAGCACTTTACTGATTAGTACTGCCAATTGGCTAGAACTGCTCCTGCCTTGACCTGTCTAGAAAGCACTCTGAACGCTTAAAGGTTTTCTGAAGTTGAGATATTAAAATACTATGGAGAAAGACTCCATTATCATTTAGATGTCCAGAGAAGAATTACAGGTCCAAGTCTGAAGATCCATATTTAGGTAAATTCCAACCATTATAGACTGATGGTTTGCACAGTGAGACAACACAATCAAGCACATAATAACAAGAAAGAAGAAACTGTCACACTATTGGCTGCGACAAAATAAAACAAGTAATTTCAGAGCCCTCTATGCAGCCTGATTTCCTTGGGCTGGTGCCCTATGATTCTTACTGCGGTGAAACTAAGGCTGCAAGATGAGTTCATCTTGTGTTAGACATCAGACAATTCACATGTGGTGGGAGAACCACTGCCTAAAGAGCAGTTTCTTTGGCATGAACTCTGGGTGAAGCTTTCTCACGTTTTGGGCATTTAGAGATTATCTTGTTCAAGAGGATTTTTAAAGAGTGGCTGGGCTCAAGATGGAGCCTTTCAGCACCAGTGACAGTGCCAACAATTTGTCTCTTCTGCACGCTGCCTCTTCATACAAAATTCATCACTGAGCCATGATCTCTCTGTCAAGGTTGAATTTACTGACAGGTTCAAAAACCGTTAGGAAGAACAGCTGTACCACCACTAGCTAATATTTTGCAAGGTATTTTTAACCCCGTTTGTCATAAGCACTTCCACGGCATGGATAAGAGAGATGCAATGATTACATTTCTCTCCATGGTTGCCTGTGGTGGTTGTTGTATGGTATTTATGTTCATTCTGCGACAAAATTTCTCCTGATGCTGGAGGTATCCCACTCACCAAACCAACGCAGATTATGCTGTACACACAGATCTGGGAAGAGACTTTTTCAGTGTGCATGTCTTATATTAAGTCCAGCCTAGATATGGAGGCTTGGGGAATACAGAATTTGCAATACAGAATTTGTCAGCCACTAGTTTTCTAGAGGTTCTTCTGAAAAAGTTCCCAGAGATGCCTCTACTTGCTGTCATAAAGGAAGTGACTGCTTCAGAGAAGTGACATTTTTTTTCCTCCTCTACTGACCTCAGACAGAGCCAGGCTGATCACATCCCTACCTGAGGAGGGGGTCTTCTCATCACCACCAGTCATTACACCAAAATAAGAGATTTGCTTTCAGCCATGGGTGTTTTCTTGCTACTATCAGTTAAGACAAAACATAATTGTTAGAAAGCCATTTTGCTGTAATCTTGTTTTCTTTTTCTTTCTTTTTTTTTTTTTAAATCAGATGTAAGGAGGTACAAGGAAAACACTCACAACTAATTAGATGCAGCACACCGTGGCTGACAACTGTGGCTCTCTTCGCACACGGTTTTGCTTTGCAGTCAATCCCAGGACTGGTGCTGTTCTCTAGCAGAGCAGCCACCACGTCTAGAAGAGCAGAGGTGTTGTCCTGGGACAGATCTGCCTGCTCTCAGATCACACAGACTCCCTTCAAAGCATACAAGTTTAAGCTCATTTAATGCTTTGCTGAGTCAAGGTTCTAGGGAATTAAGTTTGTTAGAAATGGACTTAGCTGTCATAGTACTGTAAGAGAAGACGGTCATAGGGAAAGGACAGGAAGATATTGGCTTATCTCAGTCCCTCTGGTAACAAGCCCCGGGACGTTTACTTTGCAACAGAGTACAGGCATGTTTTAATGTGAGCTGATAGAGCCCTCTTACAGCTCCTGTGGGTGTGCAGCCCTGCAAGCCCTTTGCAAGCAAGTATCACGCACTGTAAAGAGCCAAAGCTGGGGCGTGGTGAGAAAATCAAAATGCTTCTTCTACTATTAAGGAAAGAGGGAGCTCTGCCCCTCTTGGGTGGGACAATGTTACTAGATGATGCTCTGAAGGGAAAACACACTGGGAAGAATAAAAAATATGAAGCTTGTCTGTACAAGATGCTTAGAAATGGATTCTGCATTTATGCACAGCAACCAGCGCTCTCTGGGGAAGGCCTTCCTGTTTGGAGCTTTTGTAATGGGATAAGCCCCATATCCCAAATGCCTCTTAAGGCTAGGGCATTAAAAATTCAGTTCTAGGTCTGATTTCTTTGTCCTGAGCCCCTTCCTTTGAGCATGGCTCTTTGCTGTGAAATAAGACTGTTGTTGTAAGACTCTAGTCCAAAAGGATTCAAATCATTCTGTAATTTTGCACTCATCTCCTGCCTCCTTGCCATTCAATAAGAAATACCCTGCATTACAAAATCACACTACCGGTGCTATTTTGCTCTTCTGTGCTTTACACAGCTCCCTACATCCGATTTCAGGACCCGACTGTGAGGTAAACTAGTTATCGCCCCTAGCTTCAATACAAGAACGCTGAAGCAGAAAGAACTGATGTGACTTGCCCTGGGCTGCACTAGTCAGTGGTGTAGCTGGAGCTCACTCACGTCCTCCCCGTTCCCAGAGCAGTGCTCTAATTAATCCCTCCTGACTGTAGGGAA